TAAAGTGTTGAGTCGAGTTCCGTCCAGGACCTCACATGAGCTAAATGATGACAGATACAACACCGCCATTCACAAGTAATCAGCTAAATAAGTCGATCAACAGATACGCGCAAACAAATTCATGACACTAGACATGTATTATGATACGCGAACAATCATTATAATGTGTGCGAATAACTAGTAAGGTATGCGTTGATGGTTTAGGGTGTGATTCATGGAGGTCAACTTTCTATTAACAGTTGTCTACATTCCGGTGACCTCCCAACCTTGTGTTGCTCCGTAAAGCACTAAACACCTCCCATTGTTGTGAAACTCATTTTTATTTTTTATTACATGGCTGTTTGGGCAGTTAGATAGATTCGTATCTATCCTACATATAATGATATACATAAATAGTAATGTTGCTGACGCTATAAACCATATAAAAAATACATGAAGAACCGCTGGTTCATTGTTTAAAATAGCATACAATTATTTTCCAACCCAAGCACCGTGCATTTAATGTTAGTTTAGCTATTTTAGCTAATCTGTAATTTAGCTAATTCAAGATGCAGTTAATTTAACAGAAAATATATTTTCACAGGGAGATAGTCGACACTTTAGCTAAATTAAGAGTCTGAAGGTCAAATCCGCTAAAATTACATGCAGCTATTTCAACGTGTTCTACAGTATGTTACCGACATTCGTGAGTAATGAGCCCCAGAATAAGAATACATACCTACAAGGACACCATAACTGAAGTACAAAAACATCAATGAAGGGGTGAAGATGGAAAGAATAACTCCAACTGTAGAAATGGAACCAGCAACCATAACAACGATCCGCACACCAAATCGTTTGCAGAGAGGGTTCGCCAAGAGACCTAAAAAATATAAGCGAAACATAGAATTGAAATGTGCCATGATGTTGAATTAAATCACAGAGTGATCCACCCACCCTGATCAAACATTTGTTATGGATATGAGTGTAAGATCGAAAGGACTGTCACATATTGTTAAATGTCTTCCGCTTTCAGTGTAGTGTTGATTGTATATGGCACATCTTCAGAGAGGGATGGGGCGAACAATACACGAACACGACATTTTTGTTTAGCGATTTACATATAATGAGATTGAAGATACCTACCTGAGCTCACGTATAAGGCACTGCTGATTGAACCGATGAGGGACACTTGGGCAGTACCCTGTTGAAAGTGTTCAACAAAAGACACCAAGAAAATCCCGCAATTATAAAAGTTTCCTCCACAAATGAATGCAATTGCCATGCTCGAGACTAAGATTACCCATCCATAACCGCCATCTGGAGGTTCTTCAACCGAACATGGCTTCTTCTCGTTCATTCTGGAACAGATATAGAATTAGTTCTAGTTGCAGTCCTTCGACTGCTCAGATTGCCAAAACAATGTACACACTCCCAGCATGTCACACACTGTAATATTCAATTACAATTCTGGTTCTCTCATAACTCTGAATGTGGTTTGTGTCTTTAAATAACACATTGAGGTCATGATTATTCATGTTACTTGACAGGGCAACGTAGTACTTAATCACAGTTTTAAAAAAGATATATGTAATAATAATTGTATTATACCCATAATTAATAAGATTCACAGGATAAATTATTGTAAATATTAAGCTCATACACATATTACTAAAAAAATTAGTATAGTGAATGAACAATATCATAAAATACCCGCAGTTTGTTGTTAGTAGTCACGTGACACTGCAAGCCGATAATGATCTATTTATGGAATGTTAAATTCGAAATAGTGGAATAGACACTGTGGACATGAAACATTTTGAAAGTTACTTTACATTTTACATTATTTCCCTTCAAGTGGTATGTGCTCACTGGGATAAACTGTGTTCGTGTACGTGTGTGCAACACTGGTGAATACAAATGTACTAGTTTTCAATCGTCGACCAAAGCATTATGCAAAACACAAAATCTAGGTCGACTAATGTCGTAAACTGTGCTGGTGTGGATTAGTGGGCCAAAATGGTGACATGATTAGAGCATTTTAAAATAGCAACATTGAGAATTGTTTACGTTGTAGCGACATGTGGTAGGGCGATGAGTTGGAAGAAGACTATGAACTTGGAAGATGCCTAATTTTAAATACGTTTGAGAATAACATATTTTGAAAACAAATATATTTGGTACAGAAAGAAATCTCACTATTTTGTTTTCACTTTGATAGGCGATGAAAATGCCTGGATATCCGACCGAGAATAAAGGATTATCAAAGACATGGTTGCAGATTCGAAATACGAGGCCATTGGTAAAACAAATTTCAATTGGGATAACACAGAGCAGGCGTCTATCGAAACTTACTTCAGGTGCAGTCAACGGAGTAGTTCGTGTTCGCAGGGGATTTTTAGCGGGCAGGCAAAATAAAACATCTTCAGTGGGAGGGAATTAAAAATAGGGTTTCTCAGAGGGGAATTCCAGTAGGAGAAGATTTTTATTCAGAGGGCAGGCAAGTTCCTATTTTTAGATTGAGCGGGTAAGGACAAAATCACTGATTGTACATTGTATTTTTCAGAAGTGCAAAATTTGAACTTGGGTACAACTCTCTTAATAAAGAGTGTTGCCGGTGAAATGGGTCATGGGGAACAAAAACTGAGTGGGGAAAGGGCAGTGGGAGCAAAGACGAGTGCAGAGAAGGCAGCGGGGAACAAACACTGAGTGGGGAGAAGGCAGTGGGAGCAAAACCGAGTGGGGAGAAAGCAGCGGGGAACAAAAACTGAGTGGGGAGAGGGTAGTGGTAACAAAAAACAGTGGGAGGGCAATTTAATTTGGTTGAGAGGGAGGGGAGTTGCGAACAGATTGACCTCTCCCCTCCAAATTAAATTGAGCCTTAATAATGTTCATAAATTAAGTTACTGTTGATCAAACATAAATACCAAACATTTTTGAAAATTTACTTGTTGACTGCACCTGTTACTTCCCGCTTCTGGGCTGAGATTTACAAGTATAATAATATGTCTTATTCACAAAAGCAGAAAAATGGTGCACTGAACCAAAATAGTGTGTAATTACAATGTGGGGGGAGGGTAAACAGGGCGGATGGCTCTGCCTTAGTAGATGACTCCCGTATCGATCATAATATATACCATGGTTACATTCAGCAGGATATCAACAAGTTTAAAATGTAGATAGCTAAAATTACCTGAACTTGGGTATGGGTTCTCGTAGGTTTACAAATCTAAGCCTTGCAAATAACGAGTTATACAAACTGTAAAACAATTTTAAATGTACATATGAATAGTTTACTTGTAGCAAGAAAGTGTTGTTTTTAGTGAAATGACGACACCGTGTCGTTTAGTTCATAAGCGAACAGAGCCACTACAGAAGAACTCTCACTCACAATATGGCAACAGTGTATGAGAAATAAGGCGCAATATACATTACAATAAACGCCGAGTCGCATGAAAAGTGAACGATCATACATACGCTATCCCATCGCCCGAATCGCGCGGTTTCACGAGCTCGATGTTAACACACTCTCCCCGCGTTGTGTCGTCACATGAAGAGCTGTCCCAGCACTTCGCTGGTTCCCGGCGTCCTTTGCGAATGGCAGGTAGGACGCAAACTAGTAATCGCCATATTGTTCCATTTGGGCCGGTTTTCCGGCCGGAAGGAACGCGACTGGGTGACGTAATTTGAAAACATTCCAAGTTCTGTTTTACGTAAACGTGTCTGTAATGCTACAATAAAGCCATGCTCATACATACTGCCTGCTTAGATTTACAGCGTACGGCACCTAATCGCCTAGCTTAAAAGCTAGGTGCCGTACGCGAGCGCCGGTTCGAGTCACGCACGCAGTACGTATTTACTATAATTAGACATAGTCTTTACCTTGCCGTTTATTCGGTGTTATTTGCTTACTTTACTTCCTATGTCGACAGCAACTATGAGTTTAAAAATTATTTCTCAGTACTTATTCACTGTTAAAATGCTGTACCATTACTTTCACCATCCTACTACAGCCAGATCTGAAGGCCTTTGCCGCATTCTGGCCATGCTGTTTGGCGCGTATCGCGTGGACGGGTTTCACGTTCTCTGCACGTAATGAGCTCGGTTATTAAGCATCCTTTTTTGGGGATGCCCGGTGGCCGAGGGGAAGACGTGTAGTGGCGTGAAGCTAGGCGATTAGGTGCCGTACGCGAGCGCCGGTTCGAGTCACGCACGCAGTACGTATTTACTATAATTAGACATAGTCTTTACCTTGCCGTTTATTCGGTGTTATTTGCTTAGATTTACAGATTTGATATGTTCTGTGCAAATTTATAACAAAAGAAACAATTCTTTTTATTCGCCCAACTTTCGAAAGCAAAAGGAAACCCCTGAACGGCCACGAGCGTAAGCGCTGACGTCAGGTAACTAAGGGAAATGGAACAAGCAACGAGAAAGTGATGTACCAATCAGAATGCCAGAACCGTTACTAGGTACCGGCCTCTTTTGGCTTGGTACGCCATGACACTTGAGGCGGGAACCAGCCAATCCCAGCACAATCTCCTTCTCACAGGTCTTTGCGCTTTATGCAATAGTACCTCTGCCACAGGCAAATACCTATGGGAAGGTGATTGACTAACATCATCACTGCACAAAGCAGCTTTGCATATGACCTATTTGCATATCCTTAGGGCGGAGCTACGTCACAAGACGTTCCGCGTTGCTAAGACGCACGCCACGTACACGTATGGGCTCTGCGCGCGCTGCCGAGAAACGTGAAACGCGGAGCGAAGAGCCGGTGAAAATTCGAAAAAAACAACAGGAACTCAACTTTTAAGTAATCCTGAACAATCAAATTTACATGCGTTACACGCGCAGGGGTAATCTTGTTACACCGTTCAGAGGAGTCTCAACAACCATCCCAAAGTACCGTTTTCTGAGAGTTTTCGGCCTTTGTTTTCACCATGATGGTTGCCATGCGGTGAAAATGCTCAGATGTCCGCCCCGAATATGTTCGAACTACAAGACCCACAGTTATGCGTAAATCACCAGGTTACTTTTGGACAAGAATAGAGATAGTACGTGCGTGGCTGTGGCTCCCTGTGTTTCATAGAATAAATATGACCGTGACCATCTTCGCCAGCCAAGAGACGTTTGTTTCGGGTCACCCCTCCCTCACCGATCACCAAAACCATGCAACACCAGACAGGAAATTGTACCCGTGGTATCACACGTACAATTGGGAGTGCGTGGATAAATTGCCACGTTATAAATGCTTTTATGCGAACAATGCAAGGTGTAAATTATTCGACGAGTGTTATACTTTCATTTCGGTTCTTTACGTTTTTCAGTCAATATGCACCAAACCACCTCGTACTGCATACCCTCGTAGTCAACTCAACAGGGTGACCGTTTTCCCCCAAATGTGGGTTATTTTTAACGAGCAGACTACAAATAAAGCATAACATAAACGAGAATACTTGTGTACACCTCGTTTATTTACAGCAGTAGGGGTTTAGCTAATCGATCAAAACCATCCAAATATACCCAAAGTTTGGCTCATCATAGCCATGTGCTACGTATATAATGAAATACTGCAAAATACTGAAGTGTATCCTTTTTATTCGAGATACCTAAATGATAACACTGGTGCATTGTCTCAGACTCATGACTGTTTTCTTTTCTCCCAGTTCATCAGCATCGTGCTATGTAAAGACACAACACCAAAATTGTTTTCAGTCATGCATTTTTCATACTAATTTATTAATTGAGGAGCTGTTCCGTTCTGAACGAACTGGTCTGAACTCGGCTCTCGTTCGGGCCCAACCGTGTAAACGCATTAGTGATAATCTCCTGTTAATCGGTGGGAGGAGCAGTAGTTAAAAGCACGTGTACACGTGGGTTTAATTTATGCCGCAAAGGCGATAGGACTCGATTTTCAAGGACGAAGGTCGTTTGGATCGAACATGGAGGTAGAAAAGAGATACCTCCATGGATCGAACGATTTCATTTGTTTCCAATTGGTTGTATGGCTAGAAACATGGCAGCTTTTTTTTTTTTGAATATATAACATGTTCTATTCCAATAAAGGGTTTTGATATGCATAACAATTCCTTACTGAAACATCTCCTGTCGATGGCACCATCACGGTTAATAAAGTAACCGTGGCACCATGTACGTAAAAATGGCACTATCCCAAGATGGACTTTATGTTCAACGCGTTGCTGATTATCCACGTCACGTGACTGTGCGTAAAAAAATACACTCTCGAACTTGACAACATTCACTTTCAGACCACTAAGCAAATACAGACTGAGGCGGC